ATAAGTAGAATAGGGTTTTGGCGTATACTATACTTACAAGAAGGACCCCCATCAAATAGTATTTGGTAATTATCTGGGCTCCTATAGTAGAGGACGCGTCCGTCCGGTTTTAGGGCTTCGGGTGCAGGGTTCAGGGTTTGGGGGTTTAGGGTTTGCGGGTTTAGGGTTTAGGGTTTAGGGGTTTAGGGGTTACATCAGGGATTCGGGATTAAGGTTTGGGGGTTTGGGGGTTCAAGGCTGAAGGACCCACCGCCAAAGACCAATTCGTGCGAAGAGCTGAAGTGGTGCTGTTCTACTATACGGGTCAGAACAAATACTAATATCATCCTCTTATAGATACATAATATACAGTTATGCCGTAGTATACCCCAAAGCCTTTTCCAAATATGGCACAGCTAAAACTAAACACTGCTAGCCAATGCCCGGAACAGTCATACCTATGGACTCCATAGCTAAAGCCACACTGCACGAAACGCTGCTTAGGAGAAGCCTTGAATTTGGAGCCTAGCCTCTGAAACTTAAAGGAAGCATCCACAAGTCCTATATGGTCAGAACGAGCTTCGCTAAAGCCTTGGATGTCTCCGGTGCTATTACACTAAGGGTCCACGTACCCAAAAAGCATCTACTTTGGCCTTGAAGTAGTCCCTGTATAGGTACTTTAATAGGGCCAATGTATATACTATTTGGGTACGTGGCCCGTTAGGGTTACTCTAGTCATGCCGCACAGGGTCATTTTGTGCTGACCTGAGTGGAAACCAACATTCGGAAATCCTCACCGAAAGCCCAAAACCCAAACCCTAAACCCTATAGAAGCCCCTAAGCCCACGCCCAAAGTCTTCAAGAGAGCTCACCTCGCTGGCTTCCGGGGGCTCGGGGTACAGCATCGCCAGCATCTGCGGTTGGGATCCGGGCCAGGTTTAGGCTTAAGGCTTTAAGGTTAACGGTTTAGGCTTCGGGTTTAAGATGCTTGGATTTTGGGTTCTTGCTTCAGGAATTCTGAATCTAAGCCTTAATTAGCACCCAAAACCCTAAACCCTAAACCCTAGACCCTAAACCCTAAACCCTATACCGTCGCCTAAGGTGTCCTTGTCTCCGGCTCCGAAATTCTTCGGGTCCTAACTCGCCGCTTGAAGTCCTGAGCTTTCAGCCCAACAGCGGCAAACCTGAAAGCTTTAGGGTTCAGGGTTTAGGGTTCAGGGTTTAGGATGTAGGGTTTAAGGGTTCAGGTTTTAGGATTTAGGTTTAGGGTTCAGGGTTCAGGGTTTAGGGTTTAGGGTTCAGGGTTCAGGGTTCAGGGTTTAGGGTTCAGGGGGCTCGTCTCGACTTGCAGCAACACGATCAGGCTTCACCGCTTAGCTTAGGGGCTTCTGTGTCTACTGTTCCCGAAGTCCCTAAGTCAACCAAGAGATGTCCAACAAGTGTTTTCCTAATAATAAAAATGTTCTTTAAACGCACTAAGCAAATATCAATGCAAAAAGGACGACAACAACAGCAAACACATAAATTCACATCAGTGTACTAATGAGTACCACTACAAAAACAGTTATGACAATAACAAGCATACTAAATATAATAAACTTGTTATACAGTACTAGTAAGAATAAGAGTAGTACAGTACTTGGAACACTAATACTAACATTAAAAAATAATAACTTCGATATTAATGTTAGTATTTATGCTGGAAATAAATTTTAGACAGTAAAATTGAAGATATACTATTCACATTCCCGACTGAAGCCCCTACACCCGACGCCCGAAGCCTGACTGAATCAGCTACCAGTCTGGAAACCTCTGGCTGCCCTGGCTGCGGAAGCGAAAATCCCGCCTCGCAGTACCTCAAACTGGCTAGCTAGGCTTTGATGAAGACCTGGCCCTTTTAGGGCTTATTACTGGTGCTCTTGTGCTGCGGTTTACAGGTGGAACTCCAAGCTGCGATTCTTCACAATCAAGCTCTAAGCGTGCTCTGGTCGCTGCGCTGCCACTATACGCACACAGGTCTTTCTGAAACACTCAAACTCCTGTATACGGACCCTCCGGCAACCACTATGTGTAGAACCTGCTGCAGCGATGAAGCAGTCGAGGACACGAGAACGAGGGATAGAAGCCATTTCCTGCAGCAGGCAGGCCGCAATTTGTTGAAGGATGTCCGTCTTCACGGTGCATGTGGATTTGGAGTCTGGGAAAACTCTGGAAAGTCTGAGGCTGTTCGGGCTGGGAGGCTGAAGAGTTGCAGGGGTCCGCCCCTGAAGCCTTAAACCCCTACACCCTACACACCCAGAAACGAATTCCACCTAATCACAAAAGAATCACAAGCCCTCTAACACCTGAATCCTAAACCCAGGACCCTCAAACCAGTCCAAAATCCTCAACCAAAGGCCCCTAAACCCTAACCCCTTACCTGCCCGCAGGTCTCTCTGACGTCCGGCGGCCTGCTCGGGGTAGGGCAGGACTCCTGGAGCATTGCTTGGAGGTCCTCCGATCGCGCGGCAGGAGTGTCTGATGGGCTACCTTAGCCCTGTCGGCGTTTAAGCTGTGCGGAATACGGTCAGGGGAAACCCCAAACCCCTAAACCCTAAACCCTAAGAGCAAGCTTGAAGCATCGACCCATAGCCCGAAACCTCCCAAAGCTACGAGCAAGAAGCATCTTGAGCAAAAGGCCCCCTGAAAGCCCGAACCAAAACGCCAACCACCTAGGTGAAATTATTCCAATGTTCATTACGATTATTCTTTCTAGTAGTACTACTATTATTGCTAGTATTGCTACTAACTATTTCGAACCCCCTGGAGCTAAATCACAGCAAACACATGCGTGCATTCTACGACTTCGGTGGAATCTGAAAAGCAGACGTCGCCTCAACCTTGGCAGTGTCCAGCAGAAAGCGCCTCGGGGACGGTTTCTGCGGTTGGGGGTTGCATTTAATGTATAAGGGCCTTATAATTCGAATAGGGTTTTGGGGGTTCCATTACAGGGTTCCTTCCAGGGTTCTATAACGGCTACTGTAAGGGTTTAGGGCTTACTGTAGAGCCCTTAATAATTACAATAGGGTTTTGGGTTCCTGCATAGTATGATTGTAAGAAGGAGCCCCAAAAATATTTTTGCAATTATTAATAAGGCCCCTATATTACCCTGGGAGGTGCAGCCAAGTAGCAGCACTGCGTAGTGACTAGTATGAATACGGTGCCAGCAGCGGTATGTGTAGCAGGTGCAGATGGGTGATCACAATACGCTAAACACCCTACAGCCACCCCCCCCAAGTCCTGCATCGCGACAAACAATTGTAGTTGGTGGCATAGACAGACCCGAACTACAGAAAGAACGAGAGAGATCACCCTATCTTTCTCTTTCTCTCTCTTTCCAACTCCCCGACTCTTCCTCCGCCTCCTCCTGCCTCCACGTCATGATTACACACATAATGTTATTGTCATCACCATATCACCATCAGCAGCATCATTGACTACGCTCCTCCTCATCATCGCATCATGCAAGGCCATGAACTCTTAACTTGCCAACTCCAAGATCGAGGTCTGCACGTAAGCTGCGCCAGCTCCGAAATCCCTGGGGACTCCTTGCAGCGCTGTGTTTTGGCTTGTATAAGGTTAGCGCGATTAGGTTACGGGGGTGTCGGGGTTTTGGGGTTCAGGGTCCATAACTTTAAGGGTTTAGGGGATTAGGGCTTCGAGGGCTTAGTAGCTTAGCGTTGGGATCTGCGCTTCCCCAACTCGACTCTGCCCAAGCAGGTCTCATGTCTCGGGCTCGCCAGCACGAAAGTCATGGCCTCACATGACCCATTCCTCCACTGAAGGCTCAGGCCTTTCATTTCAGGGCTGACATGGATGGTCGTCGATGGGGCGAGGCTTTTCATTTCGGGCCAGCAGGCGCTTTTGTTTGTGGCTTTGCGTTGCCATGCAGGTGAGGAACGAAGAGCTGATCTGCTTCAGTCTACATCAGCACAACCTAGTCACCTAGTCGCCTGAATAGTATAAGAGCATTTCGGAACAGGCAGGCACGGCAAACTTGTAGGTGCTAAACCTGTAGCAACCACCACTCGAGGCTAAAGCTTCTGCAAACCTCGATCGATGCTCGCACTCAAGATGGACAGTGACACTCCTGCAGCCTTCCCGAAGGGCTGATAGGCAGAAACTTTTTTTTGAAGTAATTGCCAAGCCCTGGTGCTCCCGCACTAGTTTTAAGTTGTTTTGTTTCGCCGGTGCCAGACAATCTCGACAGACATGTGGCCCAAATACCAGCAGCACGGCAAGCACACTCAACATCCAACATCTGACTGTCATCCTAGTATCGAGACCCCGAAACCGTCAAGTGATGACTTGCTCCAACACCGTGTGACAGGTCTGTTCTTTAATCAGAAGATCATAGAGGACTGCACCGGAATAGCATCTACAGCACCTACTGTGTACTTGCCTTGGAGCGAGAAAACAGCATGCGGAAATATGGATGCAGGGCAGCTCCAGACCAAGCTTGACTAGGTTACTTTGAGCCCGCGGTCGAAATCCTGAAAGTCCTTGATGTTCACAGCCCGAAATCCAACACCCGCGGGCACTTCCTCGCAATCTGGACGATTTATGTAAGGTCTACATTCGGCCTAAACCCCCAAACCCCTTACTCCAAATCCCAAGCTCTACCCCCTAGACCCCGAATCTACAGAAAAGTACCAACCCCTCACGAACCCAGACGCCTCAACCCTTATGTTATCCTTGAAAGACCCTCCAAAAAGGGACCCTAAACCCTAAACCCTTAAGGAACCCCACCTCTTTGCGGGCCGGTGCCGAGCTCGAGGAGCTTCCTCGGATATGGAATGTTGGAAGTCCCTCGGTTTGTTTCGTTTAGGGATTAGGGTTTAGGG